ATTATTATTATTATTATTATTATTATTATTATTATTATTATTATTAAGCAAACTACTTTGTTGGGCTAATGGTTCTATGTATTGTTGCCAATACTGTAGGTTAGTCGATCATTGACAAATTTGTTGTCTTATTCTTATTATAATTATTATAATCATTATAATTATTAGAATCATTATAATCATAACCATAATAATCTTTAAAATCAATATATTTATTATAATTTTCATAATTATAATAATTATTATAATAGTTAAAATAATAATAATAAGTTCTACATCTACAGTTTCATTCTTAAGCACAGTGAACTCCTTAAGGGTTCACTAACAAAATTGTCCCCTAAATATAGATTGGTAGCAGTATTAACATACATATAGGCCTATTCCTTTGGCTTGAAGCCAAATACTGTCCCTTGAATTGGGGTCTCTCCCAACGGAGGGGTTTTAAAATCAAATACAATTTAAATGTATATAGGCCTATGCGCCAGCTTTGTATGTGTATCTTTGCCTGTACTTTATATAAGTCTATAAGTTTATTATCCTTCGACATTATGAGACTGCTAGTCAAGTTTGATTATTGTTCTTCCATTTTAAGATGTTACGTTTTGAAATACCCACTCAGAGTTCGCACTGTCATCACTTTCAAAAGAAAACTATTATTTACAGCCGGTATCTGGGTGATTTCAATCTTGTGTTCAATTCATCTTTTATGTTCTTATGTAAGTAGCCCGTTGATTAATTGCCATTGTTTTTATAAATAGTAGTTAATAAGTTGAGTAAATTCCCAATTTAGTGCCGAGTAACAAAAATAGGCCTAGCACGCATGACAATAATGATTCATACACTTTCAACATGTTAATATTTCATTGTTGTGTAGAATAGGTTTTATGTAGGCCTACATCATTCGATTTTAATGTGTTCAGTGGTGTATCTATAGGAGTTATATATTGGTTTTTGGATAATAAGTAGGAAGCTCGATGATTAAAGTCAGAGACGTTACTTGCCAAATTTTTCTAGTGGCGGATCCTGTTGGGATGGGCGCAAGAGTTTTGGTTGGCGTGCACTAAAAGTGCTCTTCTTCCCTCCGTAAAAATTCCGCTGAACATGTCGCTAAATAGTAAATATCATGCACCTATGTTGGTCATTCCACATAGTGTGCATCTTGTCTATAAAATTGATTTAGTTGTTAACCAATAACAAATATATGTTATATTTCGGCAGAAATACACTAGCTTATTTGATTTAGATGACGAGTTATTTTCGAAAATCATCCAACAGCGGAAGCCAATTACAGGATGTCATACAATACATAAATATATATATGAAAATACAAACAAGTGAAAGATAAATTGATTAATAACATTACAATCTTGAAACTATTTTACTCATCTTTTGGTCATTCCACATAGTGTGCATCTTGTCTATAAAAATTGATTTAGTTGTTAACCAATAACAAATATGTGTTATGTTTCTGCAGCCATTCTTTACAGTTAGTGATATTGACGAGTTTGACATGTGGCAACCTACAACACAATATATATTTCCGGCAGTCATCGTTGTAGTATCTTGCATCATTACAGCTGTAACACTTATTAAAAGAATACACAGTAATCGTTTACAGGAGTCCAATCAAAGTAACGTGTCCACAGGAAATTCTCTCAGAAATCCAAAAAAGGTATGACTATAATCTAGCTTATTGAATGAAATGCGTTCACAATTGTTAACAATAATATGTTAATATATAATAATAATAATAATAATAATAACAATAATAATAATAATAATAATAATAATAATAATATTAATAATAATAACAATAATAATAATAATTATTATTATTATT